CAAGATGCACAAACTGATAGGTGCTAGATTTCCCATGTTTATGTGATCCTAATGAAGCTATTGCTTTCTCGTATCTGAAAGTGACTAAAATGGCCAGTGAGCAACCACTTCCTCTGGGTACACTTTAAAGTTTCCCTGGATTTGTGGCTTGGGAGCTACTCTTGCAAGATCTGGCACTGTGACTTTGCATGTGACTGCCCACGCCTTTCTTCGGCGCCTCTCCAAAGGCCTCCTATCAAGTACTGCATATGGTGCCACAGTGGCGCAGTCCTTGCAGTGTCCAACTCTTGATTTCAGCTCAGGTCATGATCTCAGGGTGGTGAAAAAAAACCCTGTGTTGGGCTCTGCACTGATGCTCTCTCTCTCTCTCTCAAAAAAGAAAAAAAAGAAAAAGAAAAGAAAAAAGTTCTTCTTGCCCAGCAACTTACAAGCAAAGTTGGTAGAAGCTAGTGTCTAAGTGTTCTCTCTCTCTCTCTCTCTCTCTTTTTTTTAAGATTTTATGTATTTATTTGTCAGAGAGAGAGAGGGCACAAGCAGGGGGAGTGGCAAAGGGAGAGGGAGAAGCAGGCTTCCCGCTGAGCAGGGAGCCCGATGCAGGACTCGATCCCAGGACCCTGAGATCATGACCTGAGCTGAAGGCGGATGCTTAACGACTGAGCCACCCAGGCGCCCCATGCCCAAGTATTCTAGTACTATATTTTGTTGATTGAACAGATATTTCTCCAAGAACGGCATCGTTCTAGACACTGTGGGGAAGATCAAAGGGAAAAAAAACAGACCCTTTCTTTGTAGGTCAGCACCTTCTGTTTGAAAAAGCCAACAATGAACCTCATATATTACCATATTGAGTAGATGCACTGTCCTCATTTTCGGTTGCTGGTATGGCCTGCTTCATGTTGATTCCTGTTAACATTGATCTTTAGAAGATGGTTTCTGTCCTGACCACGTTTTCCCTAAGAAATTCCAATGTAATGTGTTATGGGGTTCAAAAGAAGGGCTGATGCATCCAATGAAAGGGGGATACTCAAGGAATTCATAGAGGAGAGGATGTCGTTGCCTTGCCTTATTCTGGAAGTTTATGAACAAGAAAAAGAGGTCCTTATTTTAATGAAGTCAGACAACTTAAAAAATATCTTTGGACCTTCAAAATCCTCTAGAAGACAAATTATTATTTATATGTTAGATTTCTCATAGTTAATATATTAGCTTTAGGTAGGTTAAATTCACGTTACTAAGCTGTTTCTTGAAGCTACGTGTATACTTTATGGGGGAGAAACTCTACCATATAACTTGTACCACTAAATGTGTAGTATAATTTAAACTAGGTACCAAGTTTTTGATCCAAGTTGTGCAGGATAAGTTAAATTTAAATTACATCCTGTTAAAAAAAATGAGTGTATTTCTGCAAGCATAGTTATGTTGAAATAAAGATTTAAAAAGAAAAAAAAAATGGGTAGTATATTTCTACCCATTTTTTTTTTAATGTTATATGCAGAAGTAGGGTCGGAGGGTAGAGAAGAGCCACACAGGATTCCAGCCCCAGCTCTGACCCTCAACACACCCCCTCACCATTCCGGAGCCCCTGAGTTCTCTCTTGTCAACCTCAGGACCTTTCCAGTTCCGCTGTTCTCTCACTTTCTGAGCTTGACTCTCTCTCCTGCTCCTCTTCAGATAACTAAGATAGGAGATAAGATAAAAGACCACAAGCTTCTTAAAAAACGCCAGAAATTACCTGCCATCATGCATGCCCGCGGGTGTGCACCTAATCTCAGCAGGTCCGCCCCAGACCCCTGAGCGCCAACCCTGTTCCTCCGCGCAGTCCCATTTCCGCACCAACAAGATGAAAGAAACTATCACGAACCAGGAGAAACTCACAAACTGCAAGCACAAGTGCGCACTGGTGGGAAAGGAACTGCTCATGGAAAGAAGAAGTGGTTCCTAGAACGACTCCAGCAGATGATAAAAAACTTCAGTTCTCCTTAAAGAAGTTAGGGGTAAACAGTATCTCTGGTATTGAAGAAGTGAATGTGTTCACAAACCAAGGAGGAGTGATCCACTTTAACAACCCCAAAGTTCAGGTATTGCTAGCAGCAAACACTTTCACCATTTCAGGCCATGCTGAGACAAAGTGGCTGACAGAAATGCTACCCAGTATCTTAAACCAACTTGGTGCAGACAGTCTGACTAGTTTAAGAAGACTGGCTGAAGCTCTGCCCAAACAATCTGTGGATGGAAAAGCACCACTTGCTACCGTACCGGAGAGGATGATGATGATGAAGTTCCAGATCTTGTGGAGAATTTTGATGAAGCTTCCAAGAATGAAGCAAACTGAATTGAGTCAACTTCTGAAGAAGATAAAACTTGAAGAAGTTACTGGGAGCAGCTATTTTATATTATGACTGCTTTTTAAAATTTTGTTCATGGATCTGATAAAATCTAGATCTCTAATATTTTTAAGCCCAAGCCCATTGGACACTGCAGCTCTCTTTAGTTTTTGCTTATACACAATTCATTCTTTGCAGCTAATTAAGCTGAAGAAGCCTGGGAATAAAGTTTGAAACAAGGTTAATCAAGTTCTTTGCCTAGGAAAAAAAAAAAACAACAAACACAAACGCCTGAAATTAGTGATTCAGCTGCTCAGGTGCTGGGCAGAGGAAGACCCATGCATGCAGGGTGGGTGGGGAGGGCTTCACCCAGGAGAGTCTGAGCTGAATCCGGAAAGTTGGAGGAAAGGAGTTTCATGGTTTGTCTTTAAATTTTTCTGTCTTGTCAATCTGATCTCATCTCAGAAAATCAGTACTGATAGTAAAGGCCAAAAATATTTCAATGATGTGTTGTTTGAAGAGAAATCTGACGATTAGACATTTTGAGCAGATGCCAAACCACAAATAATCCCCAGTTCTATGGCGTGGCCAACTCATGGATGTAAATTTACATTCAGCCCTCCGGATCACTAGCTTGACTTCGAAGAGCTTAGGTTTTCTGCATTCATTTATCTCAGAGCCACTTTGTTTTTCCCTGCAGAGACTCTTGAGATATTTTCTATTCAATAATGGAGCCATATCAAGTTCCCTTGCAAGATTCCTTCTATTAAATCAGAGGCCTAGACTACTAACATGTGACATTCTGTTGTGTGCTGCATCACAGTACCTTTTAGCGTGTGGTATCGGACATGTTTTGAAGCCGGTCCCTTTCTCTGTTGTCACTCAGAGCCTCACTGCGAGAGATGACCTCAGAGGATGCTTCTTTTACCATGTAGTCTTACTGTTTCACCACTGGCCTTACGTTGTCTATACCAGTCAATCCCATTTTCCTCTTTTGATTTTCTTTTTAAAATTGTTTTCCTCATTTGATTTTCTTTTAAAAATGTTTTCAACGTTCATTTCTTCATCAGTTATAAAAAAGTTGGAGAATACCAAAACTCATAAAGGAGGAAATAACAATGATCCAGATTCCCAACACTCAAGAGTTAATGACTGTTCATACTTTGGGTTGTTTATTCTCAGTCTATCCCTTTATCTTTCTTGGGTACTTCAATACCCTAAAAAATGCAGATTTTTCCCCACTAACAAGTTGAGGATGATTGAGACTACTACGAAGTAAGTTTCTGTCTCTTAACCTTGAGCGCTAGGTTAATCAGGCTTCCATTGCAGTGCTGCATAACAGACAATTTCCAAGTCTCAGTGTCTTATAATAGTGACATTTATTTCACACTCGTGGTGTGCAGGGTGGCTGAAGTTTGAGCTTGGCTGGCTCAGCTGAACTAGGCTGGACTCCAGGCTTCATGTCTAGTCCACACGTCACCATTTTAGGGTCTTGGCTGAAGGATCCAAGCTACCTGAAGCATGCTCTTCTCTTGGCAAAGGGTGATTGGTGGAAACCAGCCATCCTTTCTAAGGCCTGAGCTCAAAATTGGGGCATTGCCATCCCACCCACATTTCATTGGTCAAATCAAGTCACTTGGCCAAGCCTGGAGTCAATAGGGTGGAGAAGAATACTCCTCCCATGGGGGGACTAAGGAGTATTAGTTTGTTAGGGCTGCCATAACAGATACCACAGACTTGAACAAGGAAAGTTCATTTTCTCACAGTTTTGGATACTATAAGTCTCGAGATGAGGGTATGATCAAGGTTGATTTCTTCTGAGGCCTCTCTCCTTGGCTTGTCAGTGTTGTCTTCCTCTGTCTCCACATGGTCTTTCCTTTGTGTGTATTTAGTCCTAAGCTCTCTGTCTTATAAGGACATCAATCATGTTGGATTATAGTCCACCTGAATGATACCATTGAACCTTAAATTTCTCTTTAAAGACTCTGCCTCCAAATGCAGTCACATTCTGAGGTACTCGGCACTAGGATTTCAATATATGAGTTTGGGAGGGGGCCCATAACACATAGTGAAGGTGGGAAATGAAGGAAGGATTATAGATAAAGAACCCCAAGCACTTAACATCAGTGAGGCTCAGCTTCCTCATCTTTAAAACAGGGATAGGCAGCTCTATGTTATGGGTTTGTTAGGGACTGAATGAGAAAACCTGTGAAGCCCCTGCTGCAGGAGGTGGTAAGGATGGGTGTGGTTCTACTTCACGTGGAAGGACCAAATCCAGCCTTCTCGGGCCTGTCACCTTGTTGTTCTACCATGGGGGCAAGCTGGGAGTGTTCAGTGCTTCTCAGAATGGCCTCCACAGCAGCTGTACCATCTTCATAACAAAGTCAGTAGAGCCTTTTGGGTACTCAATCTATGACCTTGGTTTTGGTGACACCATTTCTACCCATGAGCTACCTCGTCTTTCCTTTACTACAAGTAGTTATTGAAGACCTTTTATGGCTTAATAGGGCTGTGGACTTCATATTGACCTAAGGCTTGGCCCTCCACCCTAAGGACCTCAGTTGAATGCCTATGGAAACAGTGAGCCAGGAGGTCAGAGCAGGAAGTGTCCCTCTCTCTGCCTCTGTGTTCAAAGCCAACAGCCTCACACAATCTCCTTTTGGTTTTCTCCCCTAGAATATTGTGTTAAGGAATGGTTCCGAGACCTTTGACTCCTGGAAGAAGGCCCCTGTGCCTGTGTATGCCCAGTTCTATTTCTTCAATGTCACCAATCCAGAGGAGATCCTCAGAGGGGAGACCCCTCGGTTAGAAGAAGTGGGGCCATATACCTACAGGTGAGTCCTGACCACCTCCCTGCCATACCAACCAAAAATATGGAGTGACCCCACTGTGGGCTGAGTCCACCTCTCTTCCCACGAGCATCCTCTGTGCGTTGGGTGGGGAGCACATGTTTGGGTGACATCTGTCTGAAATGTTGCTGATGGTTGGCACACACCTGTGACACCTCAACAGAGAATGGCTTTGTGGAGTAGGGCCAGTCTCAGCCTGTTATATTTAGAAATGCAGCTGCTTCCTCCTGAGCTGGCTGTAAGTGATTTTGAGCCATGAAGAGCTGTTCCCTACCCCCAACCCTTTTAAGGTTACCCCTTGATTCTCTTAAATGACTTATAGGGCCTTCCTCTATTTCCGTCCCCCACATACTGTTTTAGACCAGGTCCTACAATTTGTTGTTTGTAGACAGGCCTTTCTGTTTCTTATTCACTCCTTTTCCCCACCCCTCCTGGCTATGAGAGATAACCAAGTGGCAGGGTCGCTTAGAGCCTTTGGCAGGGATGACCAATTCCAAACACGGGGGAGGTAGGAGAATCACTTTAATCATTTTTTAGAAGATTAGTAGAGGGAGGTGCTCAGGAATCTTATGGTCAGAGCATTTTCCCTGTTGTTGCAGTACCCACCTCTCCCACCCACCCACCCACCCCCAATAATCTTTCCAACAAAATTTCTCCTTACCTAGTTTAAGAAAAACTAGAGGGGGGCACCTGGCTCACTCAGTTGGAGGAGCGTGCAACTCATGATCTTAGGGTTATGAGTTCAAGCCCCAAGTTGGGTGTAGAGATTACCAAAAAAATTTTTTTTAAAAAAAAAAAACAACAACAACAACAGTAGAAGAAGCAGACAGCAAGATCTTTTTTTGTATAGAACTGCTAAATGGTAAAAATGCCTCACAATTCTGTTGTAATCTATTGCTCAATAAATGGTTGCTGACTAATTCATATTATAAATCAGCGCTATTCCCTTGCAAGAATTCAGAGATAAAAATCTTGGTCCCATGGGGCACCTGGGTGGCTCAGTCGGTTAAGCGACCGACTCTTGGTTTCAGCTCAGGTCATGCGCTCAGGGTCCTGAAACTGAGCCCCTGGTCAATCTCTGCGCTCAGCGGGGAGTCAGCTTGAGAGTCTTTCCCTCCCCCTCTGCCTCTTCCTGCTATATATGTGTGCGTGCACACGTTCTCTCTGTCTCTTAAATAAATATATAGATTGAATCTTTAAAAAAAAATCTTGATCCCTGCCTCAGGTGTTCATGGTCTAGCTCTGGAGTTGAATTACCTGTTTTGAATCTCACCTCAACCACTTACTAGTTTTCTGTGTCTCTGTTTCCTTACCTGGAGATAAAAATAGGACACCCAACCAGGATTGTGATCGGAATTAAATGAGCCAATGAGTCAGTATTTAAAAAGTGCTTAGATGAATGCCTAGCACATACTTAGTGCTAATTAAGTGTTTGATACTATTATTCGTCTTAGCGGATTGTTTTAGTCTATATAAACCAATATCCAGATTTGTAAAGATGAACTTTGTTGTCATATAAAGGAATTTTAAATAAATACTTGGGTCTTTATTTTTAAAAGCAAAGTTTTGTATGGGTTTAATGCCTACAGAAACTATGTGCAGGGTAGAGCAGATCTGTGTTTGTGGCTAGCCTGCTCAGGGATATTTAGAAGTTGAACTAAAATTAGAATCTGAATGTCCTGTTTATCTGCTTTTTTGTTTTGCAATTTTAACCATTTTCTATTGAGATTAAAAGAAAGCAATATAAAATGCGTAACCATTTTTAAGTGTACAGTTCAGTACTGTTAAGTATGTTTTTACATTGTTGTGCAACAAATCTCTAGAACTCTTTCATCTTACAAAACAGACACTCTGTAACCATTAAATAACTCCCCTCCCCTTGCCCCCTAGTTCCTAGTAACCACCATTCTACTTTGTTTTTTTGAATTGGACTGTCTTAGATACCTTGTATGAACAGAACCATACAGTATTTGTTTTTTTGCTGTTTTTGTTTTTTCACTAAAATTTTTTGGGGTGGGGGGAGACTGCCTCCACGTAAGAATGAACTCACCTGAGAACTAAGGAAAACAATTTGCCCTCGGAGTCTCCTGGACCAAAAAAAATGGTCATTATCCTCTTTTGAGAAAAAGATGCATTGTAATCATAACCCAGAAAAAAACTAATATTCCATTAAAATGTCTTCCAGGCCATTGTGTCCGCCGGCTTAATGTGCTATTGTAGGTGTGGTCACGGGGATAAATAAATCCTAGAAGTAGGGCGCCTGGGTGGCTCAGTTGGTTAAGCGACTGCCTTCGGCTCAGGTCATGATCCTGGAGTCCCGGGATCGAGTCCCACATCGGGCTCCCTGCTCAGCGGGGAGTCTGCTTCTCCCTCTGACCCTCTTCCCTCTCGTGCTCCCTATCTCTCATTCTCTCTCTCTCAAATAAATAAATAAAATCTTAAAAAAAATAAAAATAAAAAATAAATAAAACCTAGAAGTGAAGCAGTGTCTGACTGTTAACCAAACTCCCTCCATGTTCCCGTTTTAGAGGGACCAAGACTTACTCCTGACAAAAGCCCCAGAACATCTTGCTAGGGGTTCTTAACCCTGGGTCCACGGATCCCTAAGGCCCATGGATAGAATCCAAGGTGGTCTGTGACTTAGGTGGGGAAAAAAATTATAATTTATCTTCAATAACCATTCACTAAAATTTAGAATGTCCTTTGAGTATAAATGTAGGCAACAAACCGCAGTGATGTAAGCAGTACCTGTGGCTTCATCACCAGTGGAAACACAGATATTGTTGTGTCTCATGATAGATGTTGCTCAAGATACCGTTCATTTTCAGAAATGTTTCAAAATTACAGTAACTGTTAGACTTGCAGCTGCATCTTATTTAAAGTGTCAATAAAGAAGTGTGTATATTACCATATCACAGATTTTTAAAATGATACCTGTATTTCGGTAATTGGCTTCCTTTGTAATCCTGAGTATTTTAGTCTCTGTATGTAAAAACATTTATCTGAGAAAGGGTCCATAGACTTGACCAGACTGCTATGGGGGCCAATGGCCAATGGCATAGATGAAGGGTCCTGAGAGCAGATCCAGGCATTTGGAAGGCAGGTTGGTCACTCACTGATTGCTTCATATTTCCTTCCTCTGGTTTTTCTCCCTGCCTTGGTTTCTCTTCCATTCCACGGCCAAAGATGATTTCCCAAAGGGAAATCTGCCATTTCCTTCCCTTCCCTGCTCAGGGCCCTAGAGACTCTTCCTGTGTGATGTTCCAGGCATGAGCAATCTGGCTCCTTTTCTATGTCTAGCTTCTTTGTTTTATTTTATTTTAATTTAATTTTTTGGCACTCTCAACCTAGGCTTTTATACTCTGACCAGAGCTATCCAATAGAAATTAACTCTAGGCCACATGTGTTAGTTGGAAATGTTATAGGAGTCACATTTTAAAAAGGTGAAATTAATTTTAGTATTTTATTTACCCCAATAACTATCCCAAACAGTGTCCTTTCAACATGTAATCAATATCCAGAATTATTAATGAAATGCTTTACATCCTTTTTTTTTTTTTATAAAATACTAAGTCTTTCAAATCCATAACACATCTAATTTTGGACTAGCCAAGTTTCGAGTGTATAATACAGCCACATGGGGCTGGTGGCTACCATGTTGGACAGCACAGTTCTAACTGTATTCCAGTTGGTTGTTTGGTCCCCGGACAGTGCTCTGCCATTTCGAGCTGTTCCCTCAGTCAAGAATGAACTCACCAGGATGCCTGGGTGGCTCTGTGGGTTGAGTGTCTGCCTTCAGCTCAGGTCATGATCCCAGGGTCCTGGGATTGAGTCCCGCATTGGGCCTCTCTCTCTCTCTCTAGCCTGCTTCTCCCTCTACCTGCCGCGCCCCCCTGCTTGTGCTCTCTCTCTCTCTCTGTCAAATAAATAAATAAAATCTTAAAAAATAAAAAAATAAAAGAATGAACTCACCACTGCCTCTCTCAGCTCAAATGGTGCCTCTTCCTGAAACTTTCCCTGACTTTGGATGAGCTCTCCCTGGTATGTGTATCTGTTACAAACTGACTAAATGCATTTTAACAATTGGTTACATATCTGTCTTTCTTCCCAGTGTACTGAAAGCTCAAGGAGGGGCAGAAACGAAGTCTTTCATACTGGACTATCCAGTGGCCGGTGAATATTTGTGAAACAAGTGAATGAAACATCCTCAGCCGTGGTTTAAATCCATAGGGACACAAGAGGAGAAATTGTGGAAATCCGCAGAACACAGGTAGCTCAGCTGGAACCACAGGACTTAATCAGGGAAGCCCAGGAGCCAAGGATAGGTTCAAGAAAGAGGAATAGGGTCTTGAAAATGAATGCCTTTGTTTAGGAACAGACGCTCACGTGCACAGTGCAAACTGCAGAGCCTTCCTGGCAGGGTTGAGTGGGTTGTGAGCTGGAATTTGCAGAAAAACATGGCTTTTTAGCAACACTTGCGGCCCTTCCAGTGAGCCTTTTGCAGTCATCTAGTGGATCTGATTTCTACCACTCGTGATTTAATTATGCTATTGTTTAGGCAAGACAGACAGAACATTCCAGTAACTCCTGCCCCAGTGCTAGATAGTTCCATGGGTTCCCTCCCAACTGAGTCAGCTGACTTGATTGGGTCCACAAGGGCCTGGGGCAAACGAAGGGGAAGGCATGCTGGCCTCCCACTGGTCAGTGTGGATTGGTCTTGCTGGTGGGAAATTTTTGAGAAGGGGGAAAGGACATGCCCTGATTAATTGGACATACAATTTACGGTGGCACGTTCCCCCAAATTTTCACATACTGGTAAGTTCAGTGTATTAATGTTTTTGGAAAAAGATGATGGCAGTTCCACCCTTAGATAAAAACCAGTCAGTCTGGTTTAAGGAATGTCGTGCGTTATTTACATTTGTATAAAGCTGTGGGTTGAGCAGCCCTGAACCGGGCCTGTTAGCACAAAGCTAATTGGCCTCATG